GCTATTATTAAGCGATTCAGTTACATACATACAAATGTAGGTTAGGTTAGAAATTAAACATTAATTTCACTTAATTTTATTAATTTTTCTGATTTAATTTTTTTATTCATTTTCATTTTGAATTATTTTAATACATGAAATTATCGGTATGATTGATAAAATATACTTGTATATACTTGTGACTCAAGGGCGTTAAAATATCTTGGAAACACCGCATCAGTTATTGTTTTTGAGCTTATAGTTTGAGCATTTCTATTTGTATATATTCTTAATTTACCAAAATAGACTACTAAACCTATGCCTAAAACCATCTAGGAATATTAAAACCAGGGCATGAATCACGTATGACGATATTCGTCTGAACGATATCGTGTCGAGATTGTCTTGCTTCATTAAAATCAAAAATTGTTTGATCGTTTGTGCGATATCGTCAACTCCATTCCAGTTTTGCTTCACGTAACAGTAACTGTNTATCGTCTATCCGTGCTAGCTAACTTTGTTGTTGCTTTCACATGCAAAATTTTTCGTTAAGCGACCGGAACTCAAACATAGCAAGCAGCGAAGTGGCGAATCGATGACGGCTATTAACACGTAACCGCAACACAAATGCATAAATCAGTGTTTTGACAACATCGTTTTGTCAGTTCTCGTTTGAATGACTATCGTTTTAAAGTTACGTGATTCATGCCCAGTTGCAACAAATGAGTCCATACATATTTATGTACATAAGCCGTCATCGATTCGCCACTTCTCGCTCGCTATGTTTGAGTTCCGGTCGCTTAAAGAAGAATTTTGCATGTGAAAGCAACAACGAAGTTAGCTAGCACGGATAGACGATAGCGAGTTTGGTTATACCTCATTGAGTTCGTTCGTTTCGCCACTCGCTAACTGTTGGCGAATCGATGACGGCTATACATAGGTACAAAGCCGTATGCATGTGCGGAGTTTAAATAATCGGAAGTAATAATCAATTGAAGCGCATTTCCTCTTACTATGCATATGCCTAAATGTATGCAACCATTTTGCAAGCAAACACAGGGTGCTTCTAAAGAAAATAAAAATTTTATGCTAAAATACACATGCTAAGCCCTTCGAAATTTTGTGCTGGGATATGCGTTACAGCTTCGCAAATTTTGCCCCTACCGAAACCAAAGATGTATACACATCAAAAATGCGCCCAACGCAAGCAGAAGAATGTGACAAAGACAGTGTCCCCTGCGCGATATGAAACATATTTGGAAACATCAACACATTCAATTAATTTACCAAGCAACCTGCATAGTCAGCTAATGCTCTATATTCCAGATTGATGATTTCTGCATTCATCATCTCGGCTTCAGGAAATAATTTTATAGGTATAGGTGCAATATTATTCGTATTGACAGAGTTTACTGCCTTTTGGCTCGAAAGCCGAAACGGCTTTAAAAAATCTCATTATTAAGGTTCTCTTTCTTAAATCATGGCAAAATTTAACACTAAATTGTAAAGCATTTAATTCAAAAAATTTAATTTCAGTTTCTGTAAAATTTTCTTTTGTAAGAAATATGTATTTCGGCATCCATTCTACAAAAAATATGTATCTAAAATGGGTATATGATTATTTAAATCTAAAGTATATATTAAATGAGATTCGATATTTGCGTTAGAGATGAAATCACGACAAATTTGTTTATACAAAAATTGTAAGCGTATATGCAGAATGTGAAGGAAAACTTCTTCTGCTTGCATTTCTATGTTTATATCATTTATCAGTTTAAGCATATACGATAAAAAAAAATATTTATTAGTTGCGCCAAAATAGTGCCGAAAATCAATAGATTGTGCTTAAGGTGCCGGCTGCTTCCGAAAGGGCCGAAAATGGCACAATGCACACTCATTTTCCATCACTCCTTTTTACATAAATTTTTTTATGGTGGCAAAAACGGAAAGTCAAAAATAGCATTATACGATCCAAATATGAACCACCAGCAAATCTGTTTATCCCCGTTCATGGGGCTGTCAAACTATCGATGAGACTATCAATACTATCGATGTTTTCCCTTTTTTCAACTATCGATTGATAGTCAGGACTATCGACTACGTTGCAATTTTTCATCACAAAATTCTTGGAAGTAGAAACTTCCAGAAAATAAATTTTATTATGTAGTTCTTGAAAAGTGGTGTGATAATTATGTTTAACAATTTGATTTGGCTTGGGACCTTTTTTGCATGAAAATGGTGTGTAATGATTCTAAAATGAAATTAATAATTTAAAATCCTATTCTATTTTATGTAACT